CGGACATCGCCGGCTATGCCGGGACTCCTCGGTGCTCGAACATCGCTAGCTACGCCGGAGACTCCTCGGTGCTCGGACATCGCCACCACGCCGGGACTCCTCGGTGTTTCGGACATCGCCAACCACGCCGGGGACTCCTCGGTGCTCGGACATCGCCACCACGCCGGGGACTCTTCGGTGTTTCGGACATCGCCACCCACGCCGGGGACTCCACGGTGCTTGGTCATCACCAGCCACGCCGGGAACTCCTCGGTGCTCGGACATCGCTAGCTACACTCGGGACTCCTCGGTGCTCAGACGTCGCCAGCTACGCCGGGGACTCCTCGATGGTCGGATCTTGCTACGCCTCATCGGTGTGCTATCAAGTCTGCTCTATGTCTGTTCGGATCGTGGTGCCGATCTTGGGCAAGACGTCTGGGGTCTTGATACGCGCATGTCGACGACGCCGGCAAGCTTTTTTCGGTTATCTTTTTTTTGACTCGCTACAAGATTCATTCTTCATCTTCCAGCAGGCTCAGGGACTAAGTGGGCATACTTCACCTTGTGGTGAATGTGCGCTTTTCAATTCAGGGCTCCGCCCGTGAACTGGTTGCCTGCTCGGCCGATCTTCTGCCTTTCTTCTACTTTCTGACCCTGACACCACATGACTACGTCACCTACTGTCAGGCTCGGAGACTAGCTGTGGGGGTACGACCCCGGATACCCACGACAGACCACATGGGTTGCGCCCCAAGAGGTGGCCCAGCCCACAAGACGAAGCCTTGTGGGGCATGACGCTGCTTGGCGTCTCCCGTAAGACACCGGAAGATATCCTAAAGATACTACGAGATCTGTTAGGATACGTATGATCCTATGATTCCTGTAATTTGTTATTACTTTCCGGTTATCTCTTAGATCTAACCAACTGGTAACCCTGCCCCTCGGACTATATAAGGCGGGCAGAGACCCCCTCCAAATACACGGAATATCATACGATAGCCAATACAATCCAACAGACCACAGGAGTAGGGTATTACATCATACTGACGGCATAAACCTGTCTAACTCGTGTGTCTCTGTTGCCTTTCTTGTTCTTGGTTACACACCTCTCTGTCGATCAATTTACCTTCGTGTGATACCCTTCGGAGGACTGCCGACGATATTCTGTCGATAGAATTATTTCTCTAATATTCTACTTGACCTTGCTAATGCCATAAAAAGGAGTACTCTGAGTGATTTATCATTACCATTGATCAATATTTATCATATATATATCTTATCCTATGACTTACCCCTGTTATGAGTAGAATATTGGTTATGGTGTACTTCTCCATCAATAGTATAAGTTATCAATACATGTCCATGCTAGACCTTCCCTGTGATAAAAATATAAATAACGATACTTGGAATACTCCCAGGTGAAGTGCTACAATTGTATATTATCTATGCGCTTGCGGATCCTTTTCATTCATATATTTATATATTCTTTCTAGTCACGTAAAATGATAAAGAAGTGCTTAGTATTATTCTAGTAGTAATGATATGTAGTACCAACAACATCTCTGGCATCATCACTAGGGATGATAACCTAGTAAATAGTAGTAATGATATGTAGTACCAACAGCATCTCTGGCATCATCACTAGGGATGACAACCTAGTAAAGTAATGTTAGAAGATATATGTTTATAATAGGTGGCTACTAAAACAAATGATAAGTTAATAAATACCAACAGCTTGATAATAGATGGTTCTTTTTTTTCTCGATCGGGCCATTCACCCGTTTTTCATTAAGAGGATCAACAGTCAAACGAGATACAAGTGTTCAAGCCAAGGCGGCGAGAGGCCACTTCCTAGTCTTGAACCTCAAATGGAAAAAAGGGATTGCATAGATTTAAACTCAAAGAAAAGGATGGGTCATCTTCCTTGAGTGTTGTAAGGATTGTGCATCGTAACTCTCTTTTCCTCTTAATGAAAAAAGACCATGCATTATTGTAACTTTTTCTTTCTTATTAATGAAAAAATATGCTTATCCACAGTCGGGAAAAAAAGTGCAAGGTGCAATAAACGGATTAAGCCCATATGGAAATAGTAAACATTATATTGTATTGGCTTAAATGTGTGGCTATTGTGTGCAACTGTTGTGAGGTTAAGAAATGTGGAACTCAAGCCCTCATACCAACTTGAGCGTTGTGGCAGGGGCTTGGGCATTGGTGGCGGTAGTGAAAGTTTTTGCAGCTCCAATGCAACTGTAGCTGTGTCTTGTTATAAAAGGATACAACTACCGACCCATGAAGGAAGAGGAGTAAGAGACCAAGGTGTGGGAGTGAGATACAGCGTACTAGGAAGAGAGCGATGGTCTAAGACCGAGTGACGGATTAAGTGGGGACAAAATAAAAAAGAAAGAAAGGAATTTTCGCTCTTTATAATATATTATATAGATATAAAAAAACTAAAATATAGACGTACCGACGTGTAAAGATACATACTAGAAACAAAAGAGGTAAATAAAAAAGAAAATACTGAAGAAAATGGAGCGTGTAACATAAAGGGCGGAAATGTACAAGTCATGGCCATGGACGAACGGTTCCGGTCGTAGTCGCCTGTGATGCGGCGGCCAAATTACACGGCCGCGTGGTGGCCGTCATGATCGTCTGATATATAGCTCCACTGAATCGGCCGTGCAGACTCAGATACAATCGTACCGCAGCGCCCATGCTCTCCAGCTTGTTGGACATCGTTGTTACCAGCCCAAACCATCGTTATCGATCTCGTCGGCTCGCAAGGTCATTATATTAGTGCCCAAATCCTCCTATTAGCTAGCTAGCCCAAGAAACCTTTTATTTTTTTATCTGTAAAGAGGCTTTTCCGTTCCGGTGGAAGTTCACAATTTCACATGCAAGTGGCTCTCACTTGGATGGAAAGACGATGACTTCATAAAGCACCAGCAGCACCAGCAGTAGCAGTAGCAGTAGCAGCGCTTGCTTGCGCTTGCTTTGCTGCTGGCTAATTCATTGCTGTTTGGGTGGATCCATCAATCATGCATGCACCAATGCCCGCATATCTCTTTAGCCTTCCCTGTTCCCAGACATCGCCAACCACTAGGCGTCCGGATCGCCAAATTGAAGGGAAAAAGGCCTGGCCACACCTGCACAGGGCGTCGTCGTCCTCGATCGGTCCTCCATCCTCCTCGAGCTCGCGGAGCACCTGACGACCATGCACCGTGCTTGACATGGAGAGCCACCGCGGCAAGCCGGCCTGCAACTTCCGTCACCTACTGCGCTCTGCGGATGGTAAAATGGAGCGGCTGCAGTCACTGTTATCAGCGAGTATGGAGAGCAACCACTCTCTGGGGTTTTGAACTTGTGATGTCGTAAGCGAAGCTGCTGCAGCAATAGTAGAGCAAGCGATCAGTGTGTAAGCTCATGTCTAAAGTACTAGCAGAATTCATGCTTATCCATGAGGACGTATATGTGTTGGAAGCACCATGGCGACTTGACGAGCCGTGTGCTTCAAGAGCATCGATCGAGTTGGCTCTTTCAAGTGCCAACCACACCACTATGGATGCTGCATGATTAATATATTTGATGGAGTGTTAACACTTGTAGACACGTCATACTGCCGTCCCGTCAAGTCGTTAGTGACTTGGTGGGCTTTGCATCAACACTCTCTTAATGCTTAAGCTAAGGTTGCATTGGACATGGACTACTAATAAGACATATGAATAAAAAACTAACAATCATGATACCAAATTTGCAGTTTAAAAACATTTCACTGATAGATGGGCTCAGCAAATGAAAAATTACGACAATCCTGATGAAGGGCCTGTTAATTTTAGGCTTATACATCAATTTCTTATTTGTTTCCCTTAGATGAACATTTGTTTGTAATAATGATCATAGGTTGTATTCATCAAAGGACGCAGAAAGCCAAAACCTTTCCATTCTCAATAGAAACACAAGGGGAATTAAGCCGTCAGGGAAATTCAGTTTTCCAGCACTTACCGTAACCAGTAGAAAAAAATTCATGCGGGAGATCTCCTAATAGCTAGTACTAGTAGACCTTTATTGTCCAGAAGCTGTTTTCTTCATAGGCACAAGGTTACCACTAAATTTTTTTAGTGTTAATCCACACGCCCATGCAGCTAGGTAACTCTGAGCGTGAGGTGTGACAAATCCACCATGTCAATATCATGGTGGATATCTCACACATCTCCTTCAAGAATCTGTTCATTACACCCTGTCTACAAATTTTGGCTGGTTGGATATTCTGAAAACAACAGTGCCACAATGAAAACAGCTGCTGAATTCTTCATTTCTTCTCCAAAAAGGACAATATTTGCACTGTTGCTAGTTGCTGCTGACCTGATCATAATATTCGCAATCATGAGAATTTGGCCATCGACGCACCGCGTCCGGGCGTCCAACCTGAAACAAATCATCCTCATCCACTTCATTTGCTGCTAGCAGCTTTGCTAGCTGCTGGCCCCTGCATGCAAAGTGTATGCCCTACCTGATTCCCACTCCCACACATACGCACACAACAAACAGCCAGTTGGCCACGGAAGATGAGAAAGAAAGGAAAGAAGAAAAAGAAATATATATTCCCGTTTCCATTCACAAACTGATGAGCAGAAACAAAAAGGGAAGAAGCACAATCTTTTCCAAAGAAACAAAAGCCCTAGCGAAAGATCTGTTACGATATGTCGATATCGATATCGATCATGCTATTAATCCATTCCAGTTAATCATAGCAAGAGTTACATGTAACTGATCTGAGCAAAATTACGGTCTCATCAGACCCGTTCTTAGTTCATCATTTCATTGCAAAAATTGACAACCCCACAAAATTATGCTTGGGTCGGGGTTCTCTTGGAGACGGTTTCCAGCGTCACAAAGCACTGAGCTTCTCTGAGCAAACCAAGACAAAAATGTTCTGCCCTGTTCTGGCCATCATCATCATTCCACTCCACCGATCGAAAACCCAAAACAAACCTAAACTAAAATTCTTCAAAAAGTGAAAATCACACCTCAGGAATGTGGTGCTCCTCTCTCTCTCTCCGGCTCTCACTGTGCTCACCATTCTGTTCGGCATCCTTGATGTTGATGCTGGCCATGGCGACTTCTTGTACCTTCTTGTTGTTCTCCTCCTCGTCGCCCTTGCTGCTGCGGTCTCCGAAGGAGGACGCCCTGCTCGACATGGGCGTGGCCAGGTACGTCGGCTTCACATCCCCTGCCATGATCACCAGTATCTTCTCCTCCCATATCGGCGGCGGCAGGTCCGAGGCTGCTGGCTTGGCGCCGTCGGCGCCGGAGCCATCCTCGTCGCCCCGGCCAGCGCCGCCCTCCAGGTACCCGGAGAGCTTCCAGTAGGAGCACGCGAGGATCAGCAGCGCGAAGGCTATGAGCCCCAGCATCGCGGCCAGCCCGCCGAAGAGGTACGGTACCGGCGAGTGCCAGGCGGAATGCGCGGCGGCGCTGCCGGCGACCGCTGGTGCGACCGCCGCCGCCGCCGTCGCATTGAACCCTGCTCCTGGCCTCATTGTTTCTGCTGTCCGGTCCTCAGCTCGGAGCTTCTTGGCTTTTACTAGCTTGTTCTTGAGAGCTTTTGCACCTGCTCTGCTTTGCTGTAATGGTGTGTGAGACTGCAAAGCAACGGGTAGAGGGTTATTTATAAGGAGGGAGAGGGGGGAAAAAGGAATGAAATTTGCCACTGCTTGGGTGGATTTGCTAAAAGAAAAAAAAAACATATAATAGGTTTATGAGGTCACTCAGCCACTTTCAGCAATGTTTATGCTACATGGTTTTAGCTTTTAGGGTGGTAAAATTGCATTAAGGACCTCGTGAAGATATAGCATTTGCTTTTTGGCAACCGTGGGAGTTGGGCACGGGGGTGGCCATGCAAAACGGAAAGGAAACCTATATTATGCTCTATGTTTCTCCATGGGGTCACTTTTTTGCTCCTTTTCTCAAATGTTTTGGGAGTATTCTAGCACTTGAGGGGTATTATTATATTGGACCATTGGGGAAGCACTTATCCACAAGAATGATCTTCAGCTTTGTTAAGTTGCTACAGGATAAGGGCATCGTTATGTGTTAGATCGCACTAAGAAAAGCATAGAGCACCACCCTTAAATAACAAGGATTTTCATCTTGTTGGGTTAGAACTTGACATAATGATTATCTATAGCAAAATACTTCCTGCTTATCAATATAGTACGTAACAGGTGTATGTTCATGCACAGTGGCGAAGCTAGAGTAAATTGTAGGGGGTGCATTTGCCCTATGGGTGCATAGGCTTGTGTTAGTGAGGATGCATATATGGTGAAATTTGAGTTAAACACCTCGTTCGGCTGGTATAGTTTTAGCTTGTTTCAGCTTATTCTTTCTCACAGAATACTATTCAATCATCCAAAAGAATCCAAAAAATACTGTGCACCGGACCATCCGAACGAGGTGAAAACCACTAGTTTTTCATATTTTGGGGGTGCATTTGCACCCCTGCAAACTGCGTAGCTTCGCCCCTGTTCATGCATTGCGATCGCCATTCTCTTTAATTTTGTTTGCATGGCTGATTTTGTTCATTCTCACTTATAACCTGTGAGGAACAAAGGTATTCGCTTGGCTATTCTTCAAAGACTGGTTAAGCACGAAGGATAACCTGCTGCACAAGCATATTTTGGAAGATTCAGTTTGCCAACGATGCAGCCACACGGTGGAAGATAGGCAACATGTGTTCTTTGACTGCTCTAAGCTCGAAAATATGGGACTGCATTGCTCTTTCCTCTGTTTCCACCATGGATATTGTAGACATCTGGTCGTTGCCATCGATACCTGGCTTGGATGCGACAGTTTGGTCTTCTATCCTCTTCGCGATTCTCTGGCGTATCTGGGATGCCCGAAATGGTATTATCTTCAGAAATGAAAGGCACACAACTAATGTGGCGTCTCGTGTTTGCGATGACTTGATTATTTGGGAAAGTGGATTTGTTAAGTCTTCCATGGTTCCCGGTCTACGCTGATGGCGCTCTTTTCTTCGTGCATGTATTTCGGATTTGTCTATGGGAGATCGCTGAATCTTCCTTGTACTAGAACTTCATCCTGATTATCAATATAATTCCAGGCGGGGAATCTCTCCCCCTCCGTAGTTTTCTTTCAAAAAAAAACTATGAGGAACAAATAATTGAATCAAGTCGCATCATGACTGATGACTCCATGAGGGGTTTTATTACTTCTGCAGGTGTTATTAACTAATCTTGAACTTCAGAACTTATCATGCACTATTTCATGGAAATCCCCCCCCCCCCCCCTTCTTCCTTCCTAGCGAAGAACAACGTGGGATTCTGTTCATATTCTACTTAGATTCCTGGATACAATCTTATCCAGATTGAAGGCCGGGGAGCACTTACCAAACACTATAATTACTTTTTTGACGCAGCTCTTGAACCTTTGAAGACTTTGAGGGGCTATAAGACACAAGAAGAAGAAGGGCTGGGACACACATTAGCAACTTGCTCTGCCCTTTATGGACAACTCTATGCATGCATGTTGATCAGATCAATGATGAGCATAGCAACGGGAATGGACGGATTCAACTGTTTTGTCTAACCCTTTTTTTTAACCTTTTTCAGAGCCCTTGTTTGCTCTTCTCTATTTCACGTATGCTCAGTTAGTCAATGGGCTCTAGAAGAAAACCGTTTGCACTGGTCCCTGAATCTCTGTTTCCTGAAACGTGCATGGCTGGATTTTTTTTTAATTTTTTTTTGCAAAGGGAAGGGAGATTTATATTAAATCTTGGATAGTACATTCACAAATCACACATGAAAAAAATCTGAAATAAAAGATATGTAATATTTCATCCAGATTCTTACATCTTCTTAGTGGCTTACTGTACAAAATTGACGATAAATGTTTGTAGAATTTTTGTCGCTGAAACCCAACTAGTCCTACGTACTACTGGTAAGCTCCTGCTTGGATCACATGAACTCCGACCATGAAAGTTTCAGAGCAGCCCACCCGACTCGGTGACTCCTGCCCTAGCGTCGTCACCGCCCCCCGCCATCCACCACCGCTGGTCCCCCTCCCTTCCCCTCCGGCATCTCACCGGGGGCTGAAGGGAGTGGGGATCCATTACTTTTAATAAGTTTTTTTTCTAGTAGATCGAGTCATTAGGACTATGTCTTTCAATGCCAAATTTTTTGGTATTGGGGTTTTATCTCCTCCTCCTCCTCTCCGGCAACGGTGAAGGGGAAGGCTGAAATCGTCTTCTCTATGGCGGCTCCGTTGAAGATATGGGCGACAACTTCGGCGTCAGCATCTTCATCGACATGACGACATGGAGACTTTTATTTCCGAACGGCGGCATCAAGGCGGAGATAAGGTCGCCGTCATGGAATAATTTTCTCCGATCTCTTCTCCGTTTTGTTGAGGTTGGGTCTGGCCACGATGAAGGACTAGGGAGAATAATTTTCATATTAGTCTTCCTCATTCTTGGGTGGCAGAAAGAAGAAGAAGGAAGACACCAGAAAGAAGAAGTTCCTCAATTCCGCCTACAGGAATGTTGGCCGTCATTCGTTGGGCATTTGTTCTCAGGCCATTTACCGAGTGTTTGCCTGTGCGGTCATCCACACTGCAAAGTATCTAACAGGTTAGGTTTTGAGTTATGCTATTCACAGCATGGGTACTGTTTTGTAATTCAGAGTGCTTGTAGCGTGTTGATATACCCGGCTATTATATAATATAATTCTTCTTTTGTCGGAAAAAAAAGACGATCCAAACCATAGCAGGTGCGTCGAGGCCCACTGGCCCAGCCACACACACACAGATGCACGCACCGACGGACCATGTACGTGTGGCGTGGCAGCAGCAACAACACTAGCTAGACCATCCGTCCTTCACCCCGATCGAGCAACAAACCAGCGCGCACGGGCGGCCGCGCCGGTTGGGTTGGGTTTGGACCACCGGCCGATCGAGGCGACGCGTCTCCACTTGGTATAACGTGATAGATGGCGCGCGGCCGGCACGAGTGCGCGCGGCGTCGCGTCGGATGGACGCCGGGGCACTATAATCGCGCGCGGGACGTGGTGGCCGCGCGAATATTATTTCGTGTCAGCGGCGCCCTCATCCGGGGGCGGGCGCCCGGTTGTGCTTCGACGTCTGCTTCCTCACGGCGACCGCCGCACAGCGCGCCGTGCTAGCTGTCGGGCCCCACGGCGGTTCGCCATTCCGGCGCGCCGGGGTCTAATCGGTCCGGTCGTCGCGCGTCGCTCGTCGCGTCCAGGGGATTCCCTGTCGGGGAGCCGGATCTCGCCTCCCTCTGCGTCCGGCGGCAGCAGCAGAAGGTAATGGACGTCCATCGCTCGATCACATCCCCTGGTAAACCTGACATGTAGTAACGTTGTATGGGTATACATCTCTGTGCTCTGGTCACACACGATTGGTTTTGGAGTGGGTAATCTGATCCGTATCTTTTGCATTGGCAACGTATCACGCATTATCGTCGCTATGGCCATGCTCGTTTTTTTTATAATCCGTACTTTTCAGTTTTTTTTTTTAACGAAAATAGTGTTTTTCTCTCACAATAGATCAGCCAAATCAGTGTTTCGGCTTGTTTTTTCAACGAAACTAACAGAGCCTTAGTCGTACTAATAGATTTCCGATGTCATCAGCTGCTGGTGCCTGCACTCAGAGCTAACAGAGCCTTAGTCGTACTAATAGATTTCCGATGTCATCAGCTGCTGGTGCCTGCACTCAGCATGCCATGCCACCACCTGCTAAACACTCTCGTATTGGCACACACTACTTCTCTGTACAAACTTATCGGTTACAACCCTGGACTTCTCGTATATCCGGCCGGCTCTTGGAAACGAGAAAAGGACTGCGATGCGAACGCAACAAGGGAGGACGAAACTGTAATTCCGAGTGCCACTCGGCGGCCCACCACTTGGCGGCGCCCTGTCTGCCAACTCTCCTACGCGATGAATGATGGTGCACCCACAAGGTGATGGGGGCCCAGCTCATTTTTCGTATGCTGGCCCACCGCCATCGTCACTCCCCACCACCGTACGAAAAAGCTATTCCGTTCGCAGCTGAATGCGCCGCGTCTGTGTGTGCGAGTAAACTTCTGTGAAATGACAAAAGCCAAGCTTATCGTACCCACACATCGCACACAGAGTCACAGACACGAGTAGTTTCCCGTGCAATTTCTTGGAAAGAAAATCTCACAATGCCACTCTTTTCAAAGTGTATAATGGAATAAAACACGTAGATCAGTAGACGTGACTCGCTCTCTCACTACCTACTTCTTGACTCCATACCGCACTGTCCTTCTTAGTCCTAATTATAAGCTTATTTATATTGTAATTTTCTTTTTTCAACACTTTTTTCTAACAAAAAAGGATCACCGGCACCCTTTTGT